TATACATGTCCTTTGCCTCCTGGTTCTTTCCTCTAGTTCCTTTTACTTCCCTCTTGTCCCACCATCATGTTCGACCTTCATTCGGGTTTAGTAATTCCTTGCTGCTACATTGCCCTTGACTGAGCCCCACTAGCCATCCTACAACCTTCCTTCCATTGATTTTAGTTCACTTGTTGTTCCCTTGTCCCTGGTTTGGGCACCCCCATTTTCTTTCTCCCACCTCCCCTTTTCCTGTATCCCCCGAACCATTGGTTTCCGTCTGTTCATCTCCGAATTATTTATCCGCCTATCTTATCTAGACAGATATGCAGATACATTAAGTGCAAAAACCAGGCAAAGCCAAATAAAACAACAAAGGAAGTCAAAACCAACAAAACGATAACAACAACAGCAAAAAACAAACACAAAATAACAATAACAAAAAGAAAGCCACTGACAAAAATGGAAAAGCCTGTAAATAGTTCAAGGTCTGTTTGTTGGCCTTTACGGGTGTTTTCCAGTCGAGTCTGGTGGGGTGCCACACTCTGTCCCCAAAGTCTTATTTTTGGTATTCCCCGGGGGTTTCATCACTCTGCTCCCCCTGCTGCTCTGCTGCATGCCCTCAGTGCCTCGCCCCTGCATGATGGGGCCAGACCTGCACTATTCCCGCACCGTGTCTCCAGTGCTGTCCCCTGCAGCGACATGGTCAAGGTTATCCTCTCCTCCCTCCCCATCCCTTGTGTTTCTCCCGTGTGCTCTAATCCGACGCACCCCTCTCCCCAAGCTGTAGCCCCAGTGCTGCCCTCTGAAGTGCATTCTTCTGGGTATGGGGCGGGGGTCAACATAGTTGGGACTGGGGCCCGCCCACCAGCTTCTTTCTGTTGGCCCATGGCCTCACCCCTCTTCCTTCTGCTCCCTCCACCTCCTAGAACTCTGGTGCCCGGAGGCAGTTTTCCAAAACCCTCACCTACCAGTGGGCCCTGGGCTGGTCCAGGTCTCTGCCCTCTCTGCCACTCGCTCCTCCTGAAGTCCACCCTCGGGGAGTGTGTCCAGGGTGGGCCCACCTGTGTTGCATGCCTGGCAGCCTGGTGACCTGCCCTGAGAAGATGAGAGCCTGGGGTGGACACGAGGTGGTTGGGCCCGAGGGCCCGACACCAACCACCACCAGGAGATGGATGCTGAAGGTTCTCCAAGTTAGCGGGGGATGAGCCTTCCCCCTGGACTGGTCACTGTGGCCTGGAAGCCTGAGGCAGCTGGACCTGGGTCTCATAACTCCTATGAGGGGGACGGGGTGTCTTTATGCCTGGGGGCTGGAGCTTCAGAGGGGCAGTGGATTTTCCTGGTCAGGAGGAGGGGTGCGGTCCCTTCCAGCCCCAGTCCGCTGGTCCTCATGGGGACTCTGGACAGCAGCTGCTGCTCCCAGCAGCAGTGACTGGCTGACCCAGAGGTGCCCCCCAAGCAGCTGTGGCTGGCCTGTGGCCACCAGTCGTGGCCTCTGTGACCCTGGGGAGGCCACTGTGCTCATCTGTGGAAGATGCTCACTGCTCAGTCCGTGGATGGACACGCAAATTGGGGGCATCTCGAGGGAGCTATGAGATGGGCGGGAACATGTCCTCGGGGTCACTGGGCACAGAAGACAGGGCCAGAGTCCTAGCCTGGGAGTCGGAAGCCGGGCAGTGACTTGGCACCTGAGTTATCAGAGCCCCGAGGTGGCAGCCCACACCCAGTGGGGTCCAGGTCACCCAGAGGGTCCGGTGGCTCCCCAGTGGGGGTCATATCCTCATCCGGGGCCCCCTCTCCGCAGAAGCTTGCCCAGCCCTGAGAACTCTGCTTCCTTCCTCCAAGCCCAGAGCCTTGCCAGGACCACCTGGTGCCCACCTGCAGCTCACCTACCTGGCTAATTGAATTTCCTAATCAAATTTCGGCATTTTATGGTGAATTTGTAACTCCTGCCTGTCTCCCCGCTGAATCCACCAGCTCTTTTTCAGCTTCCTCTTTAATCGCCTAAGTAACATCATGACAACTGTGAAAACCCACCCAGCTGGGACTGCGCCTCCCAGACCCCCTCCCACCTTTCCCCGACAGCCCCTGCAGAGAGCGAGCTGTGTAGCATCCTAGGCCTTGTAGCCGTTTCCCAGGTTGACACATAGTGTCTGTTTTCCTGCCGCCTGTGTGCCAGTGGGGAGCCCATGCCCTGCCTATAGTCAGGCTGGGCCACGGGCTGGTCCCTGCTTCCACAGCGCAGCCCCAAGGTTGTCTGTGGATGGGAGGCCTTCTGCATGGAGGGGCGTGCGTTTGCTCAGCTGCGTCTTCAAGGGGGGACACCCCACAGCCCACCCCCTGGAAGTCAGAACAGACCAGCTCTTACCTGGCTTTGCCCAGTTTGGCCTTGGTACCCCTCAGCTGTAGAGGGAACAGAGGGTGCTGTTCTGTGGCAAGGAGGGGCCCTGGTGGCCCGGTGGTTATGCCTGGCTGTGCACCCCAAGGTCGGGAGTTAGACACCCCCGGCCCTCCACAGAGAGAGTTGAGGTGTTCTGGTTCCGTGCTGAAGGCCCCAGCGAGGCCGCTGGCCCCCATAAAGGTCTCCCACCTCGGGAGCCTGAGGGCAGTCCCACTCTGCCGGTGGGTTCGCTGGGGTGGGAGTGGACTCGGTTTGGCTCTGGGTTCTTGGGGTTCTCAGGAGGCCTGGTGGCGCAGAGGTGAGGCCGCCTGGCTGCTGGGCGGCAGTGGGTGGTGCAGAGCCAGCAGCTGCTGCCCTGTGGGAAATCGCCCAGCGGCCACCCCCTTGGAGTGGCGGGTCTCGCCTTGGAAACTCTGGGACAGTCCTGCTTGTCTCCCGCTGGCCTGCTGAGTCGAAATGGCCGGAAGTCAGTGGGGCTTCTGCCGTCCGAATGCACTTGGAGGCAAGAGGAGCAGCCAGTGATGAACGGAGGGGACGTGACATCACCAAGTTTCCCTTCTGCTTGGGGCCACAACCACCGCAGCAGGGCCAAGGACAGAACAAGGGCACAGTTCGGGAAAGGGGTGCCTCAGGGCTGCAGGCTGGTTCAGTCTGTGTGCTGAGCAAGCCGTCAGAGAAGATGGCTGATAGGAAGAAGAGTGTGGCATCAGGATGGGAGGGAGGCATGGTAGTTATATAACTGTTTGTCCATTTGAGAGGATTAAGGGTGACGGGGTGGAGTCTGTCCTGTCAATCAGGTCATGGCAAAGGAGGCCTCTGTGTGGGCCTGCCTTCTCCTGAGGATTCTGGAACTCCGGTCTTCCTCCTTGGAGGTGGGAGACACTGTCTCTGGCCTCACTCTGAGTGAGACATTCCAGACAACGAGCCTGATGGAGCTGCACTGATGCAGCAGAGTCGAGCTCGAGGAGCCACGTGGAGACTCCTGCCAGCGCTGAGATGCTTCCAGCGCCACTGGATCCACAAGGCTTCCCACCCACTGTGATCGTCCTGCATCCCGCATCATTGCATGTGTTTTGTGAGTCTGAAGAGGACTTTATAGATTGGTATTGGACATAGGGGCTAATATCGGACTTATGGACTTGGCCTGACCTGGGCTGGGAGGTTTTCTCCATATTCAATGGCTCTTGTCTATAAAGCTCTTTCTTCTACACATATGAGCGTCTGTGGATTTGTTCCTCTAGTCCACCTGGACTAACGCAGAGGGCTCATGGACAACCTGTGGCGTGCAGATGGCACCCTAGCTGACTAACGCAGAGGGCTCATGGACAACCTGTGGCGTGCAGATGGCACCCTAGCTGACTAACGCAGAGGGCTCATGGACAACCTGTGGCGTGCAGATGGCACCCTAGCTGACTAACGCAGAGGGCTCATGGACAACCTGTGGCGTGCAGATGGCACCCTAGCTGCTGACCGTGAGAAGGGCTTGACGCACTGCTGCTGAAGGTGGAGGACTGCAGCCTTCGGGGTGTAGACGACCAATGTAAAGAAGACCCAAATCCTCACACTGGACCCACAGGCAGCGTCGTCATAGATGCAGGAACGGTTGACGTTGTCCAAGATGGCGTCTGGCGGGGATCCACAGTCAACGCCGCGGAAGCAGCAGCCCAGAGATCAAAGGGCACATTGTGCTCGCTGAACCGATGTGCTGCGCAGGCCTCTTTGGAGTGTGGAAAAGCAAGGGTGCTGCTTCGAGGACTGAGGTGCGTCTGACCAGTCACCGCCTACACGTGTGGACACTGAATAAAGAAGACCCGGAGCATTACCCTGGCCTGCTAGGTACCAGATCAGCAGTTCAAAACCGCCAGTAGCTTGAAGGCAGAAAGACGGGGCTTTCTACTCACCCCCAGGGTTACCGTCACCGGTGCGGTCGCATGGGGGTTCAGGAGAAGGGCATGGAAAGGGCCATGGACCGACAGGAGGACAAACAGATCTGTCTTGGGAGAGTGCTTACTGGAAGCCAAGATAGTGAAACTTCTCTGTCTCATGACCTTTGGGCACGCCCACAGGGCCCTCAGTGAGGCGTAGGGTCACAGCGCTGTATCAGTGGCCCTCTCAGAAGAACAGCTGTGAGGCTGGCGCAGGGCTGGGCAGTGCTCCCTGCTGCCCGTCTCTGTGAGTTTGCACCCAGCCCGTGACGCCGGACTAGGACGGCAGAGGGTCGGCAGTTGGGAGAGAGCCCCACACATGGGATTCCATGCCAACACTGACATGGTAGCCACAGCTGTCCCCTGGGCTGAGGTCCGAGTCCTCCACTGCTGCCCCCCACCCCAATCACCCAGTATCCTCTCGTCCCCAGGACCTGCAGATCATCAGCACGGACGAGAGCCAGGTGTTCGTGGCCGTGCAGGAGTGGCACCAAGGGGACACGTACAACCTGTACCAGTCGGACCCGCGCGGTGAGCTCTACTCCCTGGTGCTGGAGCACGTGCGGAGCTCTCGGCAGGCCGAGGAGGACGTGCTGGTCGACATCCTCGAGGTCAGCCACCTGGGGCCCTCACCTGCAACCCTCTCACCTGGGACTCCCTCACCTGGGACCCCCTCACCTGAGACCCTCTCACTTGGGACTCCCTCACCTGGGACCCCCTCACCTGGGACCCTCCTCACCTGAGACTCCCTTACCTGGGACCCCCTCACCTGAGACCCTCCTCACCTGGGACTCCCTCACCTGGGGCCCTCACCTGCAACCTCCTCACCTGGGACCCCCCTCACCTGGGACCCCCTCACCTGAGACTCCCTCACCTGGGACTCCCTCACCTGGGACTCCCTCACCTGGGGCCCTCATCTGCAACCCTCTCATCTGCGACTCCCTCACCTGGGGCCCCTCACCTGCAACCCCCTCACCTGAGACCCTCTCACCTGGGGCCCCCTCACCTGGGGCCCCCTCACCTGGGGCCACCTCACCTGAGACTCCCTTACCTGGGACCCCCTCACCTGAGACCCTCCTCACCTGGGACTCCCTCACCTGGGGCCCTCACCTGCAACCCTCTCATCTGGGACTCCCTCACCTGGGACTCCCTCACCTGGGACCCTCTCACCTGGGCCTCCCTCACCTGGAAACTCCCTCACTTGGGACCCCCTCACCTGGGGTCCCATCACCTAGGGTCCCACCACCTGGGCCCCAGCCAGGGCTCCCCCCACTCACCGCTTGCTCTTCACTCTCACTGTCTCTGTCTCTTTGACTCACTCTGTCTCTCTGACTCACTCTGTCTCTCTGTGTCTCTGGCTCTCTCTCTGTCTCTCTCCATCTCTCTATCTCTGTCTCTGGCTTTCTCTGACTGTCCCTCTTTCTGTCTCTCTGTCTCTTTGTTTCTCTGTGTCTCTCTTTCAAGTTATCTCCCTGACCCTGACTCTCTTTCTCTCTGTCTCTTTCTGATTCTGTTTTCTCTCTGTGTGTCTGACTTTCTCTCGCTCTGTGTCTCTGTCACTGCCTTCCTCTCTCTGCCTGGGCACAGACATCTCAGCAGCCCCCTTCAGCCTGCAGTGCTCTTGGCAGGGCTGCCTGTGGCTGGGAGGTTTGGGCTGGCTGTGGCCGGCAGGCAGGCCGGTGTGGGCTCCGGCTCAGGCGCTGGCCCTCCCTGTGTCCCAGGTGAGAGGGGTGAAAGGCGTCTTCCTGGCCAACCAGAAGCTGGACGGGAAGGTGATGACGCTCATCACCTACAACAAGGGCCGAGACTGGGCCCACCTGCAGCCGCCTAGCACCGACCTCAACGGGAAGCCCACCAACTGCCAGCCGGTGAGTGCCTGTAGGGTGGGGACGCCCCATTCCACAGACAAGCCCCAGCCCCCAGCCTCCTGGACACGCCCCCAGCACGCTGGTCTTGCGAGCTGCCTTGAGTGGGCTCACCCCCGGTGGCCAGTGGAGAACAAGGACACACGGGCACCCGTCCCCTCCATGGTCCTGGTGTGTCCGAGTCCATCATGGTGGTCCTTCTGTTTGTCCAGTCACTGACCCTCCACCTGACCACCCTGTCGGGTTTTCCTGACGCTGTGCCAGGTAAGGGCAGTGGAGCCTCACCTCCTCACAGGGGCCGTTGCACTGAGCACAGAGGGCTGTCCCGCAGGCAGAGTGCCCCCAGGCCTCCATGGGGCGTCCCTCCTCTGTGTGCCCCTCCAGCTAGCCCCGCCCTTCTCCAGAACCCCGGGCCACCTTCTGAGTCTGTGGGCCAGCTGCCATTTCAACTGACCAAGGAGGGCGTTGCTGAAATAGGTTCTGGTCGGCAATGACTGGCTTGGACCGGAGGAAACCGGCGGGACTTAGGTTCAGGTCCCGAGTAACCCACATAGGAGCCGGCGGGATGGGAGGGCGGGCACAGAGCTCACTGTGCAGGGAGATCCCAGGGGCCGAGGGAGACAGTGGCTGCGCCCTAGCCTGCCCTTGCTGGGACAGGGGCAGGGGTTGGGGGGTCCCCCATGGAAGTCTCAGGAAACAGCCCAGCCGCCTGCGCAGGGCCCAATTCTCGACATAAAAGTGACCCCGCGGTCGGTCGCAGCCCCCTGGGACCGGAGCAGATGCCCCTGGGACCCAGGAAGTGCATGGAAAGCAGAAGGAGTCTGGGGCACGCTGTTGGGAGGCTGTCTGTGCGTTGAATGCGGAATAAGAACTGCCCACGTGTGCGGGCTACGTGGCTCCTTAGCAGGTGGGGGTGCCTTGGGCTGGTGCCAGTGAGGTCGGCCTTGATAGAAGGAGCTGCTGGCCAGGTGGGGTGAGCCTTGAGGTCAGCAGATGGAGCCCACCCGATGCTCCGGCAGAGAAGAAAGACAAGGCCGCTGCCCCCATAACGATCCTGCCGGTGGCTCTGGGAATCGGCTCAGTAGCAGGGGGTGGGTGGCTTGGTTCGGGCTGACAGTGAACAGTCCTATCCAGGGATCAGGGGTCAGGCATGGGGAACTCCGCAGGGCTGAGACCAGCAAGGCCCCCATGGGACAGGCAGGTAGCTCACACTGCCCCTCCGCTGGACACACCCCAGCCAGGCTTCCTGTCCCTCTGGCCCTCGGTCGCAAGAGCAACTGGACTCCAGAGCTGCACGAGGAGCTTCTGCTTCTGAGAGTCCCTGAGTGGTGCTCTGCCACAAACACAAGGTTGGAGGTTCAAGTCCCCTCTGAGAGTGAATGAGAGGTTCCATTGCTGATGTCAGCTGGATCCTGGATGGAAACAAAGTCCCAGAGAGATGTTGACTTGTGTTTCATGGCCGATGTAGAGGCATTGGAGTGTGTGGTCCACAGTAAACTGTGGATCACCCTGAGAAGAAGGAATTCCAGAACCCTGTCTTGTGCTCATTTGGAACTTGTGCACGGATCAAGCGGCATCTGTGTGAACAGAACAAGGGAATTCTGCAGGGTTTAAAATCAGGAAAGGTGTGCGTGCGTCGGGGCTGTGTCCTCTCACCAGACTTGTTCGATCTATGCGCGGAGCAGCTCATCAGAGAAGCTGGAGACTCTGAGGAAGAGTGTGGCCTCAGGATGGGAGGAAGGTCTGGTAACAACCTGCGTTGTGCGCTGTGCAGATGACACAGCTTGCTTGCTGACGGTGAGCAGGGTTGGACGCACCCGCCGATGCAGATCAAGGACTGTAGCTCAGTGTAAAGATGACATCCCTGCCTCCCAGGGCCCTGTGAGTAGAGGGTCCTTGGGAAGAGGAAGCCCCTCAGTGATGGGCTGACTCAGTGCCGGCACCGCCGGGCTGGCACAGAACACTGGCGGAGGGAGGCGCGAGCAGGCCCCTGGCAGACTGTGACTCACCAGTGTGACTCGCAGCTGACTCGGCACATTTTTTCATGAGAAACCTTTGTCCTCACTGCTTGTGATTTAGAAACATTTAGGCAGCAAAGCATTGTCTTAGACAAAACAGCAGAGGCGCTGAGGAAATTTCAGAGCAGGAAGCTAAGAGTGGCAAACTCGTTAACGTCCCCCGTCTGCACCCGACCTCTCAAGGAGTATGTCGGCGAGCCGGCCGCTGGGGTGTCAGGGCCTGCAGGCGTTGCCCGCTCTCTGTCCGAGCCCCGAGTCCACCTCAGGGGCACCTTCTGCAGGTTCTCGGGAGAAACTGCCAGCGAGTGTCAGAAGCAGTTTCCCCCGCCTCCCAGGCTGGCCAGAGTTCAATTACACTTTAATAAGAGTGGGCCTTTTATTTTAATCAAAATCTGCTGCTTGGACTATCCAATGCAAGAGGGCTAATGAAGTGGGGAGAATGTGTCCCCAAGAACCATATTGAAGTCATCTCTCCTTGAAGCGTGCTAGGCAGGAATGGACTCCCGTCAGACTTCACTCAGTGAGAGGAAGCATGGCCCCGTTGAAACAACCAGCTCCGTTAGGAGCCCCTGAGCAGCTCCATCCAGGAGCCCTACTGGTGCAGTGGGGAAGCATCCGGCAGTGATCGCAAGGCCAGCAGTTCAAAACCACCAGCGAGCTCCTCAGGAGAAAGCCAGGCCTTTCCGCTCCCATAAATAGTTATGGTCTCAGAAGCCCACGGGACAGTCCTGCCCTGGAGGCTATTGGAGGGTGGCGCTGAGTCAGCATCAACTCAATGGCAGTGAGTGTGGTGTGGGGTTTGGTCTGGGGGTGGGGGGCTCCACTGTAAACCTGGAGGTCGGTGGTTGGAGCCTGCTCCGAGGCACCTTGGAAGGCAATCGTGGCCATCTCTCTGAAAGGTCACAAGATACTGTCGGGTTTCCTAGGGCCTTCCTGCTGTGACCACACACACCACACGTGGGGGGGGTGGGGGGGGTTCAGGATCCCTGGTGGTGTAGTGGATTACACGTCGGAATGCTAACCCCAAGGCCGACAGTTCAAACCCTGCCTCTCGGGAGAGAGATGAGGCTGGCTATTGCTGCAAAGATTTGCAGTCTCAGAAACCCAGAGAGGCAGTTCTCAACTGTCCTATAGGTAACCACTGGGGTCCAGTCCTAGAAGTGAGGATGTCCAACCTGTAGGAGCCGTGGTGACTCAGGGGTTCCAAGTTGCGCTGCTAACTGCAAGGCCTGCACTTCAAACCCACTGCAGTTCAGGGAGAGACAGGGCTTTCTCCTCCCCTAGACTCCCAGGCACAGCTCTGCCCCACCCCCCAGAGACACCATGGGGCGCATCAGCTTGATGGCAGTGAGTTGGTTGTTGTTTTTTTTAAGGATAATCACACCAGACCACAAGTGTAAGCTGACTACATCCTATCCAGAATCTGGGCCTAATCAAGTCCACACATATTTTGAGAGAGATGCAATTGAAAACAGAATGGCAGCCATGGGTTTTTTAATTTGGTTTACTCCAAAGGGCTTAGGACCCCATCCAACTCTCAAGTTACTCTGTTATTTCCTCTGATAACATTTGGAAGGAAAACAGCTGTCTCCCCCAAACAGGCCTGTTTATGGGTGCTCGGAGGAGGGTCTCTGCAGTGCCCGCGGGCCATGCCCTGTCTGGAGGCTTTGCATCCACACTGGGCAGTCTCACGTCCTGCAGTCCAGCCTCCGCGTTCTCCTTGGCTTTCTCCTTCGAGCCTTTGCGGAAACACTGAGGTCAATCGCACCAACCAGCCGTTTCCAGTGGGCTTGACTCGCAGTTTTTGTCTATTCCCAGGTGTCCCAAGAGAGCAGGAGGGGCGATGGGCTCCCTTTGCCCTTTGCCTCCAGGTCCCGGGTGGGCTGACTTCTCCGGCTCCTTCTCCTTGTTTCTCCTTTGTCCTGACCTGTCTGTCCACCGCAAAGCTCCTGGGGACACGCCAGCTTTGGGGCCTCCTAAAGATGAGGACTGGCATCTAAACCTTCCATCACACCCCCCTCGGGCTCCATGGTCCTGAGCCGCCATCGGGATGCTTCTGGCATCTGTCACCTGTCACCCATCCCTGAGGATGAGCTGCCCTGCAGCGGAGCCACCATCAGTTGTTGGGCAGAAAGACGGTTTGAGGGTTCAGGACCTCATGCGCCTACCCCCTCCAGGGGAGCTTGGTCGGCAGCACCAGTGTTAGATGCCGCCCGAGTCGCAAGCTCAGAAGATTACAGTCCTGAGTCACAAGCCAGGTTTCCTAGGACAGAGGCCAGCCCTCACCACTGGGACCATCGGCCCAGGTTATCATCTGAATCTCCTGTTGACTCTCGGACGTTCTTCCGCTTGGAAAGAAAGATTAGACAGGGTCTTTCTCCTCCTACAAATGTGTCTGTTCTTCACCATGAAAGCGGTAGAAATGGCATGTCCCAGGACCCCCCCGGGGAGCCAGGGACCCCTGGGCCTGGTTTCAGGCTCGCAGACGCTAGCAGAGCACTCCCCAAACAGAATACCACCTCATCGAGCACCACCTACACGAGCACTGTGCCACCATCGAACCACCCAGAGGAGCACTTCCCACCATCACTTCCTGGCACAGATCTTACCAGCAGAGCACTGCCCAGGCCAGATACCACCTAGCACAATGGCACCGAGCTGAGCACCATCGAATCAGCCTAGAACCGTCCAGCAGAGCACTCCCCTCCATAGGCCAGCTCAGCAGTGCCCCGCCCCGTAGAGCACTACGGAATCATGCAATCTCACGGAGCACTGCCCAGTCCAGCATCACCCAGGATAGAACCATGGCACCTGGAAGTGCTCAGCAGAACACCACCGGGGATCATGGGGCCACTCACCATAGAACCCCTTGGGAGAACCCTGCCCACCTGTCCAGCCGAGCACTGCCCAGTAGAACATCACCCACCCTAGAACTACCCCACAAAGCATCTGCCAGCAGGGAACCACCCACCCTAGAATCACCCAGCAGAGAACTGCTCCCTGGTCAGGAGACTCCTGCCCAGCCAAGCCCAGCCCAGGGCCTTCAGGACCAGCTGGGAAGACATGTTTGCTGCCGTCTGTAGGCTCCAAAGGCACCACACCTTTGCCTCCAGTCACCACCCACCCACCCCTCCCCCACTCCGGACTTTACAGGTCCCTGGGGCAGCCAGGACCGCTGTCCACTGCACAGAAAGCGGCCCTGCTGGGGCAGCACAATGGGGAGAGCTGGCCGCAGCCAGGCCCCAGCTGTGAGTTCTGGCCACTTGGGCTCCTCCTGCACTCCAGGGAGCCCAGAGGACAGCCCTGGTGGCGCTGGTGCTGTGATCACCTGCTAGCCCGAGGGTCAGCAGTTCGAGCCGACCGAGTGGCTCCATGGGAGGAAAAAACGTGACCATTTGCCATGGAGACGGTTGTTGGAGGTGGTGCCTCCTCACAGGGAGCCCTGGCCCAGGAGGCAGCGCTGCCGGGCCCACACCTCCTCCCTGCCCCCATCCTGCTGGAGCCACGGTGCTAGTCCAGCTCGCCGTGGGCTTTCTCTCTTCGCCTCCTCCCCAGGGTACCCGATGGGGCAGCTCAGCTTTGCAACACGGCCATTGTGAGTGGAAATTGACCCACTGCCCCCAGCACAGCATGCCCAGCAGATTTGCCAAACTCAGCGAGGGCCCTGTGGTGCCGTGGGCCCGGTGCTGGCTGAGAATCACCACGTCCGCTGTTTGAGCCCTCTGGCCACTTCTCGGGAGAAAGATGAGGCTGTCTGCTCGCATACAGTCTCAGAGGCCCCCAGGAGCTGTCCCCGCCTGCGCTCCGGGACCTCTCTGCACCAGAAGCAACTTGGTGGCAGTGAGGTTGGGCTCGGGGCCGGGAGATGACCGTCCGCCCCATTCCGAATGACTGGGACCCAGTGGGTGCCAGGACACCCCTCAGGCTGGGTGGCCATGGCCAACTGGAGGGCCTTCTGTCGCTCAGGCAGGAACCCGTGCCCGTGGGCTCCCACTCCTGGCTGCCCACAGGCAGCCCCAGCCCCTGGCAGCCCAGCCACAGTCTACTTCCTGTTTCCATGGAATTTCCCTACTTTGGAAGTTTTGTACGAATGGAGTCATGTAACATAGGGTCCCACGCATGCATTTTAGCCCCCGATGAGCCGGCAGAACAAATCAAACCCCTGTGCCACCGGGGCCCGGCCTGGGCAGCTGTCTTAGCACCAGGATGCTGCTCAGGGAGTTGTTAACCTGGGTCATCGGGCTGAGACACACCCAGCTTGGGGCCGCAGGAAGTTGTGTGAACTCAAAGAGGAACAGTGAGGGTCGCTCACCGGGCACTGATGGGGAGCTCTGAGTGACCCCCTTCTTCGTATGGAGACATACTCCTGCGCCAATCTGGGGATGGGGAAACTAAGCCCCTCAGGGCCCAGAAAATGAGGGGCACCCCTTGGCTTAGAATATGGGGCTCTGGGGGCCCAGTTCTAGGGTATTTCTGAACTGGAGATTTGTCTAGAAGGAAAACAAGAATCCTCCCTGCTCCTCAGTGGAGGTTGCCGTGGGCCGAGCTGATCCCACTCTGTCCCACTGGGGCTCCGCAGAGACTCGCCTCCAGTTCCCCTCCCCTCCTCCCCCTCTGCCCCTGGCAGAGGCAGTCCTGTGAGTGTCCCACCCCAATCCTGGATGCCCACCGAGACCCCAGTGTGGGGTCTGAACAGATGTTCCTCGGGGAGTGAGGAGCACCCATATTGGGGCCCTCCGTGGAGAAACACCTTCCCCCCATGTCACCTTGAGGGGTCTGGGTAGAAAATCAACAGTCTCTAGGCTGACCCCTCCTCCCCCCATCCCCCAGGTAAGGTCTCCTTCGCACCCCCTTCTTCCCTCCCCCAGGCACACCTGGCTCCCTTTCTCCTCAGCGGGCCCCAGAGGAGGGCCTGGCGCAGTCCTCACTGTGTGAAGGACATGCTCTCCCCCCACTCACCGTCGCCCCTCTCCCTGCAGCCAGACTGCTACCTCCACCTGCACCTGCGCTGGGCAGACAACCCCTACGTGTCGGGCACTGTGCACACCAAGGACACAGCCCCGGGCCTCATCATGGGGGCAGGTAGGTGTGCTTCCTCCGTGCGCTGGCAGACCCCACCACCGCGCAAGGAAAGCGCTCTATCTCGAGGGTGAGAACTGACGAGCCTGGGCCACGGCGTGTCCAACAGGGCAGAGCCACAGCCGCTCCAGGAAGGTCACCCTCCTGACCACCCAGAGTGCACATGGCACGCGGCGGCTGAATAGAAGGATGGACAGATAAGATGATGGATGGGTGGGGTGAGGAGTGACTGGGAGGGTTGTTGGATGGATGGATGGATGGATGGATGGGTGGATGGATGGATGGATGGATAGATGGTTGAATAGGAGGATGGATGATGGATGGATGGATGAATAGAAGGATGGATGGATGGATGGATGATGGGTACATGAATGGGAGGATAGGTGTTTGGGAATATGGATAGATGGATGAATAGAAGGATGATGGATGGATGCGAGGATGAATGGATGGATGGATGGTTGAATAGGAGTATGGATAGATGGATGAATAGAAGGATGGATGATGGGTG